GTGTGTGTGTGTGTGTGTGTGAGAGAGAGAGAGAGAAGGGGGGGAGCGGGTGGGGGGTGGAAAGGGAACTCCTTAGGTCTTGGGCAGCACGTAAAGCCCAGGCGCAGTTTGCGGGTTATTCAACACGAAATTGGCCAGCCAGTGGAGAAGAGGGGAGGGGGAGGGGAAGAGGAGGGAGGGGTCGGACCCAGGGGTCCTTGCAAGTTGCCGACCAGATACGGCAAGAAGGCTCATTATCCATTATAGCCCGGCTGGTTCCCCTTTTCCCCCGAGGGGAGGGGGTAGTTAGGACAGGACAGCAAGCTTTGCAGCGCGACAGCGATCTTTGCCCCAACAAGCGCATTATTCTTTATAAGTACGACATTGGCGGCAAGAGATTCTCCACGCGTGATCTCGTTGACTCTCTTCAGCAAGAACGGAGTGACAGCATTTCCTTCCACATTTCCTCGGCGGCTCTCTTCCAGAGCTTGATTGATGGCCACCTCTACTCTCTGCCCTACGGGCGCTTCCTTGGCCGGGATCGGGACGCCAATCAAGATACCGCTGCCCAGGTTTAGCCTCCGGTTTGCCGCGATGAGAGCGGCGCAGCTCTCCGGCGTGTCCATTCGGCAGGGAGAAGTACATCCACTCGACACGGTGAAGAAGGCGGGAAACTCATCAGCGCCATAGCCCACCACAGTCACCCCCTGCGTCTCCAACCACTCAAGCGTCTTGGGTATGTCTAGAATGGACTTAACGCCAGCACACACGACGGTCACTGGGGTTCTGCCCAGCTCTGTCAGGTCGGCTGACACGTCCATGCTCGTCTCTGCGCCGCGATGGACTCCCCCGATCCCTCCCGTGACGAAGATCGGGATCCCGGCGGCCGCGGAGAACACCATCGTCGCCGACACAGTGGTCGCGCCGTTCCGCCGCTGCGCGACCACCTGCGCGATATCCCGACGAGAGGTCTTCTGGACCGACTTGCCTAGTTTGGCAAGTTGCTGGAGATCAGTCTTGGACAATCCTATTCTAGGAATGCCGGCCATGATTGCAATCGTGGCGGGCACTGCGCCCGCTAGCCGTACGATGTCCTCGACTTCCATAGCTGTCCGCAGATTCTGGGGATAAGGCATGCCATGGGAGATGATAGTGGATTCCAGAGCGACGACGGCTTTGCCTTGAACAAGGGCTTCCCGCACTTCGGGTGCAAAACGCATGCCTTGGCTCTCCGCTTCTCGGACTCGGTTCCCGCGCCGCCACGTGGCATCATCGGCGAAAGACGTTCCAGCATTGCCGCCGCGCCGCCACGTGTTTTCTGTGCGGTCCAGCTGGGCAGCACATGTGACGTGTCGAGCGATGCATTCCATTCGTCGGAAGGAGGCCGAGGTTGAGATTGAGATTGAGATCGGGGTTGAGGTTGAGGTTGTCCTCCTGCACTCCTCTGGCCCCTCCTCTCGTTTCACACTCCGCTCCCCCGCCCTTGCGCGCGCCGCCGCTGACGTGGCGCGATCAGAAAGCAGCGGCGGCGGGGCTTCGATAGCATTCCGCTCCTCGCTGTCACTTGCATTGGCTGCTCCGCCCCAAACCCATCGCCGCCGCCGCCGCCACGTCAGTGGCAACAGCTCGTCTGTCACGCCAGAGGTCGGGGGTTCAAATCTCGAGGGTTCCTCTTCCCCCTCCTCATCACTTCTGTGGACCACCTCCTCCTCCTCCTCCTCCTCCTCCTCCATTTTCATGTCTATCGAGCTACCCACTTCCAATTGTGCTGAGCTGGCCGCCGACACGTGTCGCCGCTCTGTGGTGAGTTCCATCGCCATCTACTAGATAAATCAATCGATAGACCCATCAACCGACCGATAGCCCGAGTGATTGATGAACCGATCAATTGATTTGATTGGCCAATCAACCGACCTATAGACCGAGCGATTTATGAATCATCATCAATGTGCAGAGATTGATTGAGAAGCCTTCGACTACGTGTCGATGGGGCTAGCGAATGGCAGGACGATTCAGCCGCAGCCGGGGGCGGGGGGGGGGGG